GCCCCCAGCTTTGGCTATTTTTAATCAAATATCAAAATAATATACAATTGAAAGTCTTCTTTTTGTTTTTAGTTGTGGGCGGCTTTGTTTATTTCTTTTTTTTTTTTTTTAATTTGCTCAGAGGGGTAAACAGTAGATTATTATCACTAGAGACTTGAAAAGGAAGATGGAAGGAGGACTGAGAGATGTTAGTTAACAGATAAGAAAGTACACTGTGGGGGCTAGTAGGTGGTGTGGTGAGTAAGGTGCTGGACTATCACATGGTCAACTGTGGTTTGAGTCCCGGACCTGGTGACTTGAAAATCATGACAGGGTGTGTGTGTATGTGTGCCCAAGATTCTGGAAGAGAATGGAGAATTCTGATGTGGCCAACTCTCCCTGAGAGGTGATTTCTCACTTTCCTAGTCTCTCTCTCTCTCGCTGGTGAGGGCATATACCCTATGGTAAAAAGAAAAAATTAAAAAGAAAGGACACTTTGCTAAGAGGAATAAATTCTAGTGTTCTATAGCAGTGGATGGTAGCTCTTGTGCAGGGTAATTTATCCTGTATTCCAGGATGTCTGAATGTTCTCAACACAGAGACATGGTAAGGGTGTGAGATGATGGGGATGCTCGCCACCTTCCTTTGGTCAATACACATTGTATTCACAGACTGAAAAGTCACCGTAGTCCATAAATATGTACAATTATTATGTGCCAGTTATAAATAAATTTTTAAAAAGATAATATGGGGGCTTCAAATATGATTTATTGTGATAAAGGTACCTACAGTGAGGATGATCAACTGTATAAAACTGAGAGTGTGGAATGGGGTGTGCCAAGCCTTTCACTGTTATTCTCTGTACTATTTTATAGTATGTGTCATTATTGTTATTCTATAGTATTAACAAGCATACTGGGTTCAGCCGATGGCAAGGTGGTTAAGGCACAGGACTCCCACACTGGTGACTACTGTTCACCTCCCAGACGTGGTGGCTTGCTTTCTCATTCTCCCTTTCTTTCGGGTAAGCACATGTGCCCTACAGCAAAATGTAAAAAATAGTAATAAATAACATAGTAATACAAATTTTAAAATAGTAATAGATAAAATTAAATAAATAATTCTTTTTGAAAAACAAAGTAAAAATATCTTTGTACTTTAGAATATTTAAAATGTTCTTTTTGACATGCATGTTTTCTTCTTTTCTAGGTTTTCCATATTCGTATTGATTCCCATATCTAAGTAATTTCATTATTGGATTCGTCTTAGTAGCTCGATGTTCATGTCAGGAGAATAATTAATCTCATTGGTATTTCTTATTTTTCCCTTGTCCGTGGCCAAGGTTCCTTGGGGCAGTTTAAACACATAAACCTGTTATTGAATTTTAAATACTCATAAGCAGTATTTTTTTTTTTTTCCTGTTTCCTTAACTCAACCCACCTCACTCAAGTCCTCCCAGGAGGAAAATGTGCTGATTGCTATTGTTCTGTGGAGAAAAACATCATGGCAGGAAATGCCCCTGCAAGGATGTCACATGTCAAACACGTTGTTGACTGAGTTTTGTCCTCATTGCAACACCCCCCATGGCGTCTCGTGTGTGAGGATACCAAGACTTCTCATAACGTGAACCAACATTCCCAATTCAGAAAGCAGACACTCCATGCTACATTAAATGAAGAATGTCTGATTATATTATACAAAATTATAAATGCTCTGATAGCCTCTCTGTTTCTCCCAGACACAAAGACCCAGGCTCTACACCTGTTAGGTTGCCTGGTGCTCATGTTACCATGAAAGTCCCTGTCTCCCAAGGAAACAAATTTTTACTTTATTAATACATCTTTAAAAATTTTAAAATTGATTATCATCCTTTTTGTATTACATTTACACATACATATTTACAGTGTATTACATTTCTTTTTCCAGCATGATTACCAAGCATATCAATCAAGACAAATGCATTACTATCCTCCTCCTCCTCATCATCAAATAGCTTTTCACCATTTTTTAGATTATTATTATTATTTATTCTCATTATTTTTTAAACATTTAATCACTATATATCATTTGGCTTGTAAAGAGAATTTACCCAACATGAACATACTCAGAGTAGTCCAGTTGAGAATACTATACATGTTATCATCAACAAGTAAGAAGCCATTTCTGTGTCCCACTCATGTCATGCCTTTCTATTTGGTCTCTTGCTATCCTTCTCTATACCCATCCCTTCTCCCACTCCCCCAACCCCCTCGCACATTCCACACTGTCTTCAGCATCCATAACTATTATCACTACTTTTACGCCCTCCAATATTTCAATCTCTACCATAAAGTGCAGAGAGTTGGTATATATTAAGTGGATATATACAATATTTTTCTTTCATATCATGGCTTGCTTCACTCAGCAATACATCCTCCATATCTGACCACTTTCTATCAAATGCAGGGTCTTGTTATTTTTTTATGACTAAATAACATTCTATAGAGTATATGTGGACATTTTGGTTGATTCCATGTCTTAGCAATCATGAATAATGCTGCAGTAAATGTTGATGTGCAAGTGCTTTTCTGACTGAGCATTCTCCTGTTCTTTGGATAGATACCCAGAAGTGAGATCCTGGATCAAATGGTAGTTCTATTTGTAGATCTTTTTTTTTTTTTTTTTTGGAGAGATTTTCACTGTAGGGCGCGTATGCTCGCCAGACAGACAGAGAGAGACATAGAGACAGAAAGCGAGAAATCACCCCCCAGGGGGGATGGTCACACCGCAATCCCTTCTCCTCCATTCTCCTCTCGGGATCTTGGGCACACACGCACACGCGCCCAGCGTGAGTTTTAAGCCACCGGATCCGGGACACGGATCACGGTCGACTACGTGGGAGTCCAGCGACATAGCCATTACGCTAACTGCTGGTTCCCTATTTGTAGATCTTTGAGAAACCTTCGTATTGGTTTCCACAGTGGCTGAACAAATTTATATTTCCACCAACACTGTAGAAGAGTTCTTTTTTCACCACAAGCCTGCCAACGTTTGTCACTTTTTGTATTTTAATCTTTGCCATTCTGACAGGGGTTAGGTGATATCTCATTGTGGTTTTAATCAGCATCTCCCTTATGATGAGGGATGTTGAGCATTTCCTCATATGCTTTTTGGCTGTTTGGATGTCTTCCTTAGAAAGATTTTTGTTCAACTCATTTTCCCACCTTTTATTTGGGTTAGACATTTTTTTCCCAAGTAAGCCATTTGAGTTCCCTGTGTATTCTGGTTATCAGTTCCTTATCTGAGGCACATTTTACAAAAATATTCTCCCATTCTGAGGGTTGTTGATTCACACTTGTTACTGTGTCCTTTGCTGTGCAGAAACTTCTTAATCTGATGTAGTTTTCACTTGTTTATTTTAGGGATCATTGCCTGTGCTTTGGAGGTCTTATTTAAGAAGTCTTTGCCTACCTCAATGTCTCCCAGAGTTTCCCCAGTGTTTTCCACCAGTAGTTTTATAGTTTGAAGTATTAGATTCAAATCTTTGATCCATTTTGAGTTAATTTTTGTTAATGGTGGAAGATGGGAATTCAGTTTCATCTTTCTGCAGATGAACACACAGTTTTTCTCAGCACCATTGACTAAAGAGGTTTTCCTTTTCTCAATGAATTGACTGGTATCCTTTGTCATAAATTAGTTGACTGTAAGCTTTGGGGCATGATTTTCAAGTTGATGGGTCCAGGACTGAAACCACAGAGTTGGTCATATGGGATCCAGCCACCTTAATCTCCATGCCACCTGCTGGTACTCATCTGTGATTTGTAAATCATGTGACATCAATCACAAAAGGGAAGACCTTCCCAACAAGAGACAGATTTCATAATTTTCTCCTTATATTTCTGCTTTGTTGGAGGTGTGAATAATTCTGAAGGATTAAAACCACTCCCTTTATCTCAACAGAACTTGCTACAAAGTGTGTGAAGCAGTCAGTGCTCAGTAGGTATTTTGGTGATTAAATGAGAAGAGGGAAAAGGAGAAGAGAGAGAAGAAAGAAAGAGAAAGAACAGAAAGATTCAACTGTTGGCTTTGGTTCAAAAGAGAGAAGAAAGAAATTTCTAGAGTGATGATTCTCAAACTTTATAGTATAAGTCTAAATCATTTGGAAAGCTCATTAAAACACACACTGTTCATTTCCACCCCTGGAGCGGTCATCATTGAACCTGGAGTGGGGCCCAAGATTCAGCAGGTGAGGCTACTGTTGGTGGAGGTGCAGAAATCACCAATTTCATTATCCTCTACATCAGGTCCACCGATAACATGGAACCCATAAATCAGACAGAGGTCTCAGAATTCTTTCTTTTGAAGCTGACAGATGACCCCACACTGCAGCTCCTTCTCTTCGGCCTCTTCCTGTCTATCTACCTGGTCACCGTCTTGGGAAACCTGCTCATCATCCTGGCAGTCAGCTCTGACTCCCACCTGCACACCCCCATGTTCTTCTTCCTCTCCAACCTGGCCTTTACTGACATCTGGATGAGCACAACCACGATCCCAAAGATGCTGGTGAACATCCAGACACAGAACCAGAGCATCACCTACACGGGCTGCCTCACCCAGCTCTACTTTGTCCTGTTTTTTGCAGCCTTGGAAAACTTCCTTCTGACAGTAATGGCCTATGACCGCTACGTGGCCATCTGTCACCCCCTGAGGTACATGGTCATCATGAACCCCCAGCTCTGTGCTCTGCTGAGCCTAGTCTCTCTGTTCCTTAGCTGTGTGATTGCCCTCCTGCACTGTCTGATGGTGCTGAGACTGTCCTTCTGCACGGACCTGGAGATCTCTCTCTTCTTTTGTGATCTTGGTCAAATCATCAAAATTGCCTGTTCTGACACCCTTATCAATAATATTGAGATAAATTTTGTGGCCTTCCTATTTGCTACTGTTTGTGTTTCTGGGATCGTTGTTTCTTATACCCAAATAGTCTTCTCTGTTTTGAAAATACCATCAGCAGGAGGAAAGTATAAAGCTTTTTCCACCTGCGGGTCTCACCTCTCAGTGGTGTCCTTATTCTATGGGTCAGGTTTTGGGGCGTACTTTAGTTCTTTGGTTTCTGACTCTCCCAGGATGACTGCCTTGGCCTCAATGATGTACATGATGGTCCCCCAAATGGTGAACCCCTTCATCTACAGCCTGAGGAACAGGGACATGAAGGAAGCCTTGAGGAAACTTGTTGAGAGGAAAATTTTTCTCCTGTGAGCATGTGCTTTGGGTTTGGTTTCCAGAATGAGTCAAAGAATATGGCAGACTCTTCCTTCTCTCAGGTCTTTCAAAATGACTGTGCAGCATGATGACTAAGAACATTTTTATGTGGACTTTGAACTAGACTTTGCTTTTTGTCTTGCTCTGTCAGGTTTGTCAAGTGATTCAAGTGGTCAGAGCTCAGTCTTGTTGCTGTGGTTTTGTAGAAGCAGAGCCTGAGGCGGGGGTCATGTTTTAGTGATACTTCTTGTGGATCACTCTCAAAGGAAAGTTCCGTAGAGGTGGCAGGTAAAATTGAAGGTTTAGACATAGTTGTTTGTAGAGACAAACTCTTCCTGATCCCATGATTAAGGCCTTGTAGGCCTATTGTGAACCAAGGGATTGGACCTTTTGTACATAAAAACTAATTACTGAGACCCATTTCTGGTAAAAACATGTCTGTTTTGGTAACATTAACATGGTGTCACAGTCAGTACCAAACTGAACTGCAGGGCTGAGAGCCACACAGCTGATCACAGTTATTTTTTCTTAATTTTTAAAATTTCAATGCCATATTTGTACATCTATGTAGCTCACAACTTGATTTTTCGACATATGCATGTAGTACATGACACTCAAGCCAAACACATTACCATGTATATCATTTTTTAAAATTATTTTTTAATTTAAAAATTTAGTTTATTTTATTACAATTTTTATACATTCAATCACTTTACATCATTCAGCTCGTAAAGTGAATTTTTCCAACAGGAATACACTTCACGCTTGTCCACTTGAGGATTCTATACACATTATCATCAAGAGATAATAATCCATTTATGTGTCCCACAAATGTCTTGCCTCTCTCTCTCTCTTTTTTTTTTTTTTTTTTAGATG